TATTTCCACAAATTACTAACCACATTTCTAACAAGTACATAAGTGAGGAAGATCATGGCAAGATCTTGTTTCAAGAGCTTTGTCTTTCCTGTCTTATTAATCTTCTTACGTGTTCAACCTTTCTGTGTGAAGACCACTAAGTTAGGTATATCATTATAGTGATTTTATAATGCAAGGAAGTGCTTAAGGCAAATTTAGATCATCAGAATAATTTCCCATTTTTCCTACATTTAAAGATATTTTGTATCTTATTTTCTGTCCTGTTGCTAATTATCCTAAAAGGGGCTTTGTAATAGAAAAGGATTTTTGTCACTGAACCAGTCATTTTTCTGGCACACTGCGCTGCCCGTAATGCGATTGCTTAAATAAAAATTGGTGCAACTTTAACATTGTAATAAATTCATTCATTTCTTTGTCTTTCATTTAATAATGTAAGACATAATAAACTCTCAGTAGATATCCCATAACTATTTCTACAGGATTTATGTTGTCATTTAATATTATTTCAAAGGACAAAACATAATTCTTGCCATTTTGCTCAGCTACTCATTTTGTAATTTTTTTGTTCTCCCACTATCACAGAAATGATCAAATTAACCATTTTAACAAGCATTTGCTAGTTGTGCCTACATACCATTCATTTAAATGACTTGTGAAATCAATCAAATAATGGGGCCTAGTCTTCTTTCCCTGAATAATGACTTCAAGGAAGATCCACCTCCCTCTCTGGGAAAAATGGATAGCTGGGAATGCTCAGGGGAATAAAAGGATTTAAAGCACTGCACATAAAAGGCTGAGTAGAGGAGTCTTTGAAAATGAATTCAGGCTTCAACAAAGCATGAGAAAGAAAAGGATACAGAGGGAGCGGCTTGGTATAGATATGAGCTGTGCATACAAAGAGGCTGCTGAGGAGATGCATAATACCCCAAGAGAATGAGCTGTAGGTGCTGGGCTGCAGGCTGAGGAAAACACATTTTGATGAGGGGCACAGGATGTGCAGAGGCTGGCTGTGGCTGATGGGTTAATGAAGACACCTCAAAAGGAAGCCAGTCTGGAAAATTAAACTAATTATCTCAAACAAAGTGTTTGCATTTCCACTAATATGCAATGAGCCTCTCTTCACAATCAAAAATTATGAAGATGAGAAAAAAAGATTAAGTCCATTTAATATTTTAAAAACTACAAGTCTTTTTCCTATATCCCATATTTAGGATTAATTGGCAATAAAAGGCACCTGATTTCTCATCAATCCAGAGTGATGAAAAGAATCGCAACATTACCTCACAGTCACACAACTGCTGTCTGAATTTTTTGCATTTGTAGCAAAGTCTCACTGGAGGATTCTCTTAGAGCAGGACTGAAGTAGGCTGTAGCATTTCTAGTGAGTGTTAATGTACACTTGTCCAGAAAGCAAGCAAACATGGAAATGATTAAGGAAGATGGTGAGTTATCTTCCTAGATTAGCATCCTTAGAGTTCAAAAGATTTTTTTAAAAATTTAAGCTATTTCTCAGTTTTTGTTGTTTCAATAAGCTGTTGGGTTAAACATGTAATTAAAAAGGAATGCACACATTAACATTGGTTAACATTTTTAATTGCATCAGAGCTAACAACTTCATGGAGAAATACTAGATCATCATCACTGCCTGACAAAATTCCAATAATGTATATTCAGCCACCCCCAATTATTGAAGTAACAGTTGAGTCACGAGACTTACTCATGGATATTTGGCATTACTCTCCTCTGAGACTACCTATTGGACCAGACCAGTCACTGGTCTGACCAAGTATTGTAGTGACAATGTTTTTCTAGGAGTGTTTGCAATGCTTTGTGAAGATCATGTTTGAGCAGTTCAATAGTGTTGATCTGGAAGAGCACAAAAATACCAGTGTCCTTCCATAATATTTGTTGAGACTCAAATGCTGCAGTGTTTTCTGGAATATAGGATACAAATTTTAAAATAAATGTAACAATTGGGACTATGCTGATTGTGACAGATAGGATAACCTGAGGTGAGTGAAGGACATCAAGGCCCTCTTCTGTAAGTTGGTGCCATACTTTGACCATCCTCAGATGAGATTTCAGAACCCAGAGCCATGTCCAAATGCCTGCCATCCTTTAGTCTTGCAGCCTCTGACCATTAATCCTTGGTCACTAATTCCTTTGAGGTGAGCAGGTACACCACAAGTCAAGAGGGTATGGAGATTTTGTCCTCAGTAGTGCTATGGGTGACATCTGAACTCTTCAACGCTTTGATCTCCAAGACTTATGACACAGAAGCCTTGATAAGATTCTTATCTTATTCTTGTACTTCCAGCCTACTGCAGTTACAACCGCACACATAAGGCTTTGCTCCACCTCTGAGTGCCACTGGGTTATCATGCCCCTTGAAAAACTCCTCTTTCTATCACGGTACACATTTTTTGGAAATGTAATTTCATTGGGGCTGCAGTCTGAAATTACCTGAGTGTTTTGGCAGGTGTAAGAGGGTGCTTCCAGTGTGGTAGCAGAGGTTGAAGTGTGGGGAAAAGAAAGATAACACAAAAAAGATGGGTTCAGCAGCAAAAGGCAGGGAAAATGAGAAAACAAAGGTTTTAGTTCTGAAATTCAGTCAACTGAGGACAAAGCAGGAGGGATAGACACTGCTAAATTGATTGAGGAAGGGCAGTTGGCAGTGAAGAGGAAGATATATGCAGTACCTGACTGTGCAGCTTCCTTCAGGTTTTACGGCCACTCTTGAGGGTCTGACTGCTTTGGGGAATGTCTGTACCTTAACTACATACTGGAGCTTTTTGTCATGGGAAGTCCACATGAGGATTTAGGACCAATTACTCCATTGAGTTGGAATGCTGTAGAGTTCTGGTTTCATGCAACAGGAATCTGCTTTATGCACAGCAACATCATTTTGAGTAACCAGTTAATATGTGGTTTTATGGGTACAGTCTAGGTATTTGCTTCAAAACTACCCTATTGCTATGAAGTAAATTACTAAAGTTAACAGAATGACTGTGCCTTATAAATTCATGAATATGTCTCTTCATGGCCGTGACCAAGAATTTTTTTTCCTTGAGGGTTTTATTGAAAGGCATATGATTAAAAAGAAATGTTATGATTACTGCTTATTGTTTCTGGCTTCCTGCAAAATGGAGAAAAACGAAAAAGAATATTTTGTTAACAGGACAGCTTTGCAATCATACAAAGAACTACATTCATACTTTGTTTTTCTGCCATGTTGTAAAAATTTCAACCCCAAATAAGTTTGTTTAGTAGCTGAAAAATGCATTGATTTGTAAGTGTAAATCTTTGAGCAATGTCATATGCTTTTTTTTTTTTTTTTTTTAAGACCAAATGAATTGAAAGATCTGCAGCCCTAAGGAAGTAAGGAAATAGTAACCACTGTGAAACTTGATTTCTGTATTTGCACCATAATAGTGAATTATTTGCATGTCCTTTGTCTAAAGATTAACTTTTGTTGATTTCCTAAACCCTGAAAAATAGTCTGAGCCCTCAAACTTGCAGTATCTGAAGCTCTGCAGAACCAACATGGATAGGCCATACCACCTTGAAAATAAACCCTTTTTTTAGCTTTCATGTGAGCAATTATGTTTCATGTAGTTGTATTGCTAAGTTTAGCTTGTGGTTGGGTATCAAACCATGGCCAGATGAGCAGATACAGCTGGAAACAGACTTCCTGCCCTTGTGTACCTGTGTCCTGTGCACCAGCTGTGATCTGGAAGCTGGGGAGCTGGTTGAGATGAGGGGCAGGGGTTTCAGCAGCAGTGGAGATCCACTCTTGTGCCTCTCTAGCTCCCAGACTAGCCTGAATCTCAGCATGCCTTAGCACACACAGTTCATTTCGTTTCTGTTGGGACCCTGTCCAAATGACACCCTTTGTTAATGAAATTTCATCTTCGTGGAGGCTTTAGATATCTTCTAGAGTAGATCTCCTTTTACATGCATCCTACTACTACTCATGTAGTAAAGCTAGCAGGGCAGGCTTGGGTTAGTTTAATATGTGATGCAGCTTTCAGGAAACCCCAGAATGTAGCAATGTCTTCCTCTGTTGGTAATAATGATGAAGGCAGTCTTAAATGCATGGTTTCGCTTGCCTGTTGATGATTGCACCTATTTGTTACCTCATTTGTGAAAAGCAGAGATCTGAAAGGTGAGTTAACACCCTTTTCTCCTCAGTGCAGAACCATTCTCTGTATTTGATTCTTCCCCAAGCCTATCTTATCAAAAAGCTCATAAAAATTCGTTAACTGTGAGTTCATTGTTAACGAATATTCTTTGATGCAGTGTTTCACTATGTTTTTAATGGTGAATCTGTAGTTGATCACACATTTTTTCCTAGTGAAGATAGGCTATAAAATCATATCTGGCAAAAGGAGTTTTCCTGTAACTTCTGCATTTTGTGGAAGATGATTTTCTGCACTTTTTTCTGAGAACCTCGAGCTGAGCAAGACCAATCAATAAATGCAACTGTAGCAGAGATCTGGACTGCAGAGAAATACCCTCACAATAAGAAACCTATAGAAGCTGTTGCAGCAAGATGAGATATGGTTTGCAGAAGCTCTGAATCTCAGTTATATTTATCCCACAAGCTGTGACCTGTGTGGCCATGCTCTGAAGAAGTGCAATCCCTAAGATGGACTGGTAAAGAACTTTGCTGTAATTTCACTGCAACATCAAAACACAAAAAATGTGTGTACAGATATGTCTCTGTCACTCCATTGCTTTATTGAACTAAAGTTGTGGCCCTTCAGCTTCTCTCAGCAGTTCTCTAAGCAGAAACATGGGATCCAAGAACAATTCTACCTAAGAAAGGCCTAGAGATGGAGGATTATTGAACTGCAGTGTGTGAGGTGGGGAGTGGCAGAAAGAAGCTCATTTTTGGTACAATTTGTCACTTCTCTTCCTCCATGAGTTAATGCCTTTCTCTGTTCATGCTTCACTGATTCTCTCTCCCACTAGGCTCAGATTCTGCCTCTCAGCAGCCAAGGAGTATAGGGAATAAATCCTGGATACAGACAACGGGCACTTAAGATCAGGCACCTCAGTCTGCAGGATGAACTGAGAAGCTGTATACCCTGGCTGAAGTCTGCCAAGGCTCAGAGGAGCACAGCAGCATGCTAAATCCTCCCTGCATTTCAGCATATCAACCTGGTAAGTGTCCAGCAAGGGTAAGTGTCCAACTGCAGTGCTGCTTTTGTGGTACACTATTACAGTGGCTTTACTATAGAACTCATCTCAAAACCAAACCAGTTTCCCAAGCTAATGCAGAACAAGGCCTTGAAGACAAATAATGATGATTTATATAGTGTATTTCTTTTTACCAGCAAATATGGGAAAAAAGCACATTGATCCCAGATTACAATGTTAGAGATGCATGAAGAACATCTGTCATTATGACAGAGTCATAAATCATCATGCTGAAGCCCTGACATGCCTTTTTTCATTGGCAAAGTAATTTTTAAAAATGGGATATAATTAAGTTGCTTAGAGCCACATATTATCTATTTTAAATCTATAATTTTTCTTATGTGAAAACTGTCAGGTGAAACACACTGGTTTGGTTTTGGTTTTAGATGAAGCCAGTAAAAAACCTGACCACTGTTCATCACAGCAAATCAGGATGCTGCTAGGAACTGTCCCATGTGAAGGAATTCTAAGGAAAATAAACCTGTAATTGAAACCATGCTGTAGGTGCACCAGCAAACCATCCTGACATGAAAGACAGATAAGTAGTAATAGGCCAGTATATCTGCATAGGAAATACTCCAGTGACTTGAATATCAAAAAGGCAATCCTACAAAGAGTGAAATCAAGGGCATATTGTGGAAGCATTGGCCTGCTTGGGCAATCCTGACCTTGATTAGCAGCTCTTCTCCCATGGGAAAGCACATACCAAAGGGTAGGTCTAGCCATAAATACCCATGCTTTGATGTACAGCCCAGAAAACTGGGCTGTGAATTTGTGTGGGATGAATGATAAGAGCTAGAAACATCAGCTCTACTTTTCTTGGTTTTGTAGTTACTTTCTCTCTCTTACTAGCTGGCTGTCTAATTGATCCTAAAACTCATACACAGAAGAAACATGTAAATACTCAAGTGAGTTTTATAAAGACAATCCTGCTTGATGACAAAGTGGTGGTCTGTTATTCTTAATCTCAAAGCATATAAGTGAGATGGGTAACAAAGCACTGGCATAAACATCTAGGGATAAAAGTAGAAAGAATGAGTTGCAAAATGAGTTACAACTTTCCTGGAGCATAAAATGGAAGAGAGATTCTATAAATACCAAGAAGTTAGAAGAAGATAAGGGCAGAAGCACAAATAACAGACACCCAGAGTTGAGGGAAAGGTTTTATTAATTTTGCTGCTTTCTTCACATGCACATAAGCATCAGTGGTAAGTACTTAACAATGCTATTTTTTTTAAACATAATGACATATGCCAGAGTAGGGAAAAAAACAAGTAAAAGAATGTTTGAATAAGTGAGATGTATGCAAGTCTCTAGTGCTGAAATTTACTTAATACCTACTGGGCTCTTGACTTATCTCTGAAAATTCCTGAAGGACTGGATAAGTCACCAGGGCCTACAGCAATTATGTACCCTAAGAAGGAAATACAGTCAGCATCATAGTTAAAATTTTTGGTAATTAGCAGAAATCTGGCATTACAACATACATTTTGCACATTCTTTTAAACCAAACACGCACTTGATTTAAAGCCTTGCTCTTCCTTAATTCTTCCCATCATGGCACCTGGGTTTTAAAAAAAGGAAAAGAAAAATTTAGTGAAAATTTTTTTTCTTAAATTTGGCATTTACGGCAGACTTAGATTTTGACACAATTAAGAAGTTGTTGGCTGTTTGCAGAGTTATAACCATTCCTGCTTTTAAAAATGGGAAAGGAAGAACCTAGGGAATTACAGAGTACTCTGCCTAACGTCACTACTGAAAAAGATAATGAGACAAATTACTGAGAAGTAAATTCATACACACCATGAGAAGGTGATAAGAAGCATCCAACATGAATTTGTCAAACTAATTTAAGTTCCTTCTTGAATAAGGTAACTGGTCCAAAAGATAAGGAAAAGCAGTTCAAATGTCTGTATGTAAGACCCAAGATGAATCTTGACCTGAGTAAGGTTTTTGATATCATCCTGTATGCTCATAAATTAACTGGGGAAAGCTGTTCCATTTGAAATCACTTCTAATTCAGTCCACTGTCAAAAGTAAACCTAATACATGGTGGTTGGTAGCTGCACGTGGGAATGTCTTGCACAGCTCCTAATGGATAGGCTTCTGTTGACATTTCAATGAAGATTTAGATGACAGAATTAGAAATAATTATATACCTATAAACCTGGTAGGTGACAATATGTAAAGATTAGAAGAATATGCTCAAGGACAGAATTAGAATTCAAAAATATCCTGGTAGGTTGTGAAATCCAAAATGAAAAATTTGAACAAAGGCGATCGCAGAGGGCTACATTTGGGAGGATGAAATCAAAAGCATAACCACAAAATGCCACTGCAGATAAAGATCTAGTGATTAATAAGGGCCATGAATGAGCCAACAGAGTGATGCTGTTGAGGAAAAGAGATACATGTAATTCTAGATTTTCTTGAATTGTCTGCTCATGACAGTGTACATAAGATGAGATAATTAGCATGCTCTTCCGGGCACTGGTGAGGTCTCAGCTAAAATACTGTTTTAGTCTGAGGCACCATAATTTCAGAAAGATGTAGATCAGCTGGAGGCAATCCAGAGATCAACAAAGATGAAACTGGAAAATTGGACACATAAAGCATGGTTGCAAATACTAGTTTTGTTATAATAATAATAATAATAATAATAATAATAATAATAATAATAATAATAAAGGTTATATGGTGTTCAACAGTTTTTGGGTACATCAAAGGCTATTACAAAGAGGGTAGTTTTATGGTTTTTGATGCCCACTAATAACACACAGAATGTCAACGAAACCTTTTTCAGCTATACTACAATAAATAAGACAGTAACCCATTCTAACCAGAAGAAAAGATTACTGCTGGAATATATTACCCAAGAAGATTGTAAATACCTGCCATTATTGATTTTAGATACAAATTAGAGAGACTGCCATCTGCACTTATCAAGACAGTTGTGGTCCTTCTTTGAAGCTAGGAGATGGCCCAGGTGCATGTTTTGTAGCAGGTGGCTGAAATCATTGGAACTGTGACAGAGCATACAAATTATTACAAGGTAATCCATAACATATTTTCAATAAGAAATCATTTGAAAATTCCATGTGTGGTTCTAAGCATATTCAATTGCTGTTATGGAATATTGCACAGGTTGCTCTTTAGTACCTTTTTTTAACATTTTTCCTTGATTTTGTGTTGTGGAGTTTTTGGTTTGTTTTTATTTTACCTCCGGAAGGCTTGGTACAGCTTTGATTAAAAATTTTGAGGAATAACAAACTACATAACCCCTTGAGATTCTATCCAAATCTGTACTTCTATGATTCATGTGCAAGCTATTGCATTTTTCTGAGCTGTTGAAGAGCTCTGCAAGCACAAGTTAATTATTAAACTCGTTCTTTTCCCAGGGCAGTAATGACCTAATCATTTATGATAGTGCTCAAATGAGGAATTAAACAAACATATCCAGAATAAACACAGATCAAATAATCTTTGCCAATGGAAAAGGACAAAATCTTGTTGTCATGCCAGTGGGTCTGCAAAAAACCAGCACAGATATAGACATCAGTAAAACTAACAAGTACAGGCTTCTCAGCCTGAGAGAAATTCTGTTTTAGTAGTTCTTTCTATTCAAAGTTTTAGGATGTTTTTCTGTTTTGGAAAATTGGAAGAATGGGAATGAGAAAAAAAAAATGTAAGTGTTTTGAAAAGGTTGGAAAGTTTTAAGGGCTTGAATTATAATTGAGCATTTCAACATTCAAAACCCAAAATGTTGCATGGTCATGGTGCATCACACGTGTATGTATATGTGTGTGTATATATATATATATATATCTTAGCTAGAGGAGCACAGAGGCCTCATATACACAAGAAAATGCCAACCAGAATTACTGTGCAAGTAAAATAGCATTCTGCAATATATTTTTTGTGTTAGCTCAAAATAAATCTCTTTAAAATCATACTCACAAAGGAAAACAGAGCAAAGCCACTTATTTTTCTATTTCATTTTTTTAATATTTAAAACTAAGTTTTTTTCAGAAAATATGCTTTTTGTTAGAAATTCAAACCCATATAAAACTTCTGACAAATTCTAGTCACTACTTAATATAAAAATAACTGGCTCAAAAATGTCTTCTAGAGAAATCTGTGATCATCAGAGTGGACTGTAGTGTTAATGAAAATATGACTGTAAACTGGAAGTGTTTTCAGTCACCATTGTTATTTTAATCTAGCAAAAAATCATCCTCAAAGATACGATCAGGGTTATGACTTCCCAGAAATTTATAAATATTTCATTTCAGTGTTTATAGGTATACTTCAGTGAATATCCACTGGTTCTTTTGTTCTTTTAAAACTGTACTGGACACTCAGACACCAGAATAAGGATTTCATATTGCACAAGAAGTTTCTCTCTTATAAGAAAACCACTGGAGCTCGTGAATTTTGCTGTGCAAATGGATAAATACTGACAGAATACATATGGCTTGCATCAGGTATATCATTAGACACCCCACCTGTGGATCCATGGCAGTAAAAAAACTTGCAGAATTTCAAAGACCCTGGTACAAAAATGTCAGGTGTCAAGGGCAGCCTTAATCCCACAGTACAGGGAGGGACAATTAGACAATGGGCGTTGGGGTAGATGACCTTTAAAGGTCTCTTCCAAACTGAGCTGTTCTGTGATCCTGTGACCCAAGAGGAGAGAACACAGCTGAGCTGAGCTTGCTCAGGGCAGCCCCAGCGAGGTGATTTCATTGCTGGGACCTGTAAATATGAAGGTGAACTCTTTGCTTTGCAGGCCAGGGTGTTGGTACAGCCCCATTGCACATGCCAACAGACTAAAGTGTCTTAAGCAGCTTAAATAGCTTTAAGCAGCTTTGAAGGCTTAGATACTGTAAGCTTATAAAGCAGTTTAAGCTGCTTAAACCACTCTGGGACTTTAACAAGGGCCCCACAATGCTGCTCCTAGCCTGGTGAGTGAAACAAAGCTGGCTGCAGCTCCCCCACCATGGGCTGGAAGGATGGAGCTGCAGGGCTGCCACAGATCCAGCAAGGGATCTGCTGATATTGACATGCTTTGTCAATGATGTTGTAAGAAATAATGCATCATATACTTTCTCCCCTTGGTTAACTCTTTGTTACTTTCTTTTCTCTTAACTACCTCACTTCCTCAGCCACTGCTGTACCTTTTTTTCCTATTTTCACCAATTTAGCTCAGGTTTTTTCAGTATCTCTTTTCTACGTAATTAATTCTTCTTAAGAGATCAGTGGGCTTTTCTTACTGCAGTGATACCTTTTATGAAGAAAACACATCTCAATTCAGCCTATTCAATTCACAGAGCTGGGGGTAACTGTTCATTCGTATCAGGCTGGTTTAACCTACATCTAAAATTTTTTTCTTAGAAGAAGGGCATGAGTTGATAGAAGCATTGTGGAAAAACCCAACCATGTAATCCCAGGAAGTACCAGTGGCAGCCATTAAGTTATCACCTACAAAATCAGGAAACCAGATGGGAGAGCATTGTTCAGAAGAAGGAATACAATGCACTGAATCTGCGTTGCAGTTTCTGGCATTTTGGATGTTTCATAAAGGATGGAGGAGGAGGAAGCCTGGGAAAAGCTGTCCAGAAAAATGGGTAAATTTATGTTCCTACACTGAATCTCTTAGGGCTGAAAGGCCTTTTTTCCCCAGTTTTTACTCCATCTGTCTGAATTTGGGGTATGCTGTGCAAACCACAAGTCATGCTGTTCCTACCAAAGGATGTGACACCCCCTCCCACTTATACAGAAGGCAGCAGCTGAGTGTAGGTTTGGTTTGGTTAATGACAATTCACTTTGAGCTCCCATGCTAATAACCAGGGCAGTGGTGATAATACACTGGAGCACTTGAGTCAGATGTGATATCCTTGCTGCAGAGTTCATAACAAGAGGATCCTCTCAGGCCTGCATCACCCCATTTTTCTTGTGTTTGAATTCCCTTTCCAGTTCCTTTACAAGGAACATTCTCCTGTTCCTTTTCATATCCATTTCCTGGGGCTGTATCCTAATTTCTCAGGTGTCCTCTCTCTTCTCGACTTCACTGGGCCCATATTTTTCACAGGTTTATGGAGTCCCATCAGAGGCACCTTTGTATATATCACACACTTCAATCACAATTTAGCTAAGAAATCTAACTATAAATCTTATCATAGTCAAACAATGTGTTTGAAAGACTTGAGAGTGTAGGCAGGAAGAGGGATAATGGTCAGCCCTACTTACTGATCTATTTTTTGCTGATTATCTACATTATGCATTCCTAAATGACGTTACCTATCACCATAGTGTGTATTGAACACACACCATGCTGAACATGACATATTATATAGCATCATTTAACACTTTCATTACGGCTTGATTTATAACCAAAGGTTATTTTTTCCAGTATCCTAAAAGCATGTTTGTCTCCGTTTTTATTGAACAAAATTATTTGTAGCATGATCTATTTTTTTCAAGTCATTAATGCATTTTAGTCTCTTCTCCCATTTAGCTACCTATCAATAATTACTTCCTTCAAAATGTGTTCAAAACCCCCACATATGATGTCAATAGGATTCACTAGCTTGGTGAGTGAATTATTTTTTTCTTAAATATTGGTTTGATATGCTCCCATCAGGTGACACCACTGGTAGTTAACAGATTTATTTGTAGTGCAGTATTGGAACCATGAGGACATGGTTTCCTTAAGTTCATGATTTGTGTCTACATCATCCTCTTGGTTCTCCCAGCTCCATCTCCAGCTCCAGCCAGTTTTGTAGGAAAAATGGCAGGACTACCTGTGGGTTTTCTGATCAGTAGATCAGTGTTAGCTGCTTGGTGTCAAGACAGTTCTCAGGCTGGAGAAATTGAGCCCCATTCCTTCAGCTTCAACAGTAATTTGAGTCTTGTTCTTCTCTAGGAAGCTGCTCATTTGCAGCAACAATTAATGAGAGGAATTGAGGAGTGTAAAGTTAATTGTGAGCAAGGAAAAGTCATCTTTTTTAGCCCTGAAAGCTATATGAAGTCATCTATTCACAACTCATGCATTTTCTTTGCCATCTATGCTATTACATCTGAGGAAACAAAGGTCCTACTCATGTTGCAAGAGAGTTTGGGTAGTTTCACAATTGAAGGATTTTTTTTAACATTTGTAAACCAGAAAATAGAAACCAGGCATCAGGTCATGTATACAGGCTGTGGTTTGGCAGACATTTACACTTATGTCCAAATTTCAATTGGAACTTCATTTCCCTTGACTTCCAGGAAACATCAGGGTGTGTTAAAATTAACTTGCTTTGAGATGACAGCAGCACTGCATGTTTGCATGGCTTGATAAACAACTGTGAGTGACCAGAAGTATTTTGTTGACTGCATTAAGTCTGGTGAGGTCACACATCTGTGCTGATCCATTCACCAGTGGAGAAGGAAAGTTTTCAGTGCTGCTGCTGAACTAAATCACCAAGTGCTGGCAGGCTGCTGGGGTCATGTTGCTGGGCAGATTATCAGGTATTGGCCAGTCACTGAGGGCGGCTCACACAGCAAAAATGTACAGGACAGCAGACTCACCCTTCCTTCCTTCCTTCCCCAAAGCGAAGATGACTGCCACCTTGATGAGTCTCTAGAATTACAGGTGACCTTGCTACAGGACAGCAAGGAGCTTCTATAAGCCAAATTGTAAGTTTTTCTCATTCTTCCATCTCCTTCAGAATTTTCTCTCAAATCTTGATGCTCCCACCACTGTTTAATTTTTCTAAGTATTGGCTGAAGTAAAACAATAACTTATTTCAACTTCAAAAAATAACTTTCATTTACATTTGTTCCTAGCCTTGTGGGGTTTTTTTGTTTTGTTTTGGTTTTTGGTTTTTTTTGGGGTTTTTTTTTTTGGTGGTTTTTTTTTGGGTTTTTTTTTTGTTTGTTTGTTTGTTTGTTTGTTTGTGGGTTTTTTTGCTTCTTTCCAGCTTTGGTGGCTAGCTTCAGGTAATAAATGACACAGAATATTGCCTGAATCTATTACATTTCTGTGAACACCAAATTCCTAGATTGCAAGACCAGCCCAATTCTTTGCTCTGCTGGAAGTCATCTTAAGAGGTAAATAGAGTTTAAGATTTTAGGAAGAAAGCCACAGTTCCCACTCTACCAATATTAATTTCATGCATTCCCACTTCCATTCTTCATTCTGCAATTGGGCTGTGCTTCCATCTCCACCCACATCCTGCCTTGACACATATCCTCGTGTGGATGACAGGGGCAGTGACAGGTAAGCCAGCCAGCATGCAGGCTGAGTCACTCCAGGAAGGCAGACTGTCATCTGGCAATTAGGATGGAGAAGAAGGAAGTGTGCCAACCAAACAGGTGATCTGAGCAATGCATGGCACCACACATGCCAAAACAGAGGTTGCACAATGTTGGCTATGACAGAGAACTGTGGAGAAGAACACAAGAATGCATTTCCAAAATGGCCTTCATAGTAGGAATTAAGAAATACCAAAACTCAGCCTATTTGTTTTCATGGATCACTTTCATAACAAAGATGAATATAGCAATCAAGAAATAGCGCAATGGTGTTGTATAACCTCCTCAGCATTTATATGGATGTCTTTTCCTCTGCATGGAGGCTCAAAAGCAGGATCACAAGCACAATTTATGAGTATGGAGCAATTATGCTATTTGTTGGATTATACACACAATAAATGGCTGTGAGTAATGTGCTATTAGCCTAAGCATTAATACCCTCACCACCTCTGATGCAGGTAACCACTGGATTTCTGCGGGTCAGGCAGATGGCAATCACACGGGGAAGTGCCAGACTCCATTGCTCCTTGCAATAGGGCGATCCTCAGTTTTGCTGAGTTGTTATATTCTATTTCTATATTTTTTTCAGAGTTTTAGAGTTATTTCAGTTGTTAATTTTTCCATGAGTCCACAAGTGACTGCTGCCAACTCAACAATTTCACTTCTGTTCTTGTTTCAGCTATTTTTTTATATATCTTTCTTGGTTTAAGTGCTTCTATTGTCACTTATAGGTTAGCAACCTTTTTTTAGTCAAGCAGCCTTGGAGTCACATAGCCTACCTAGGCCTTGTGTTAAAATAGTTTGAGTGTGAAAGATCTACCAATATGGTGGGAGACAGACTGATCTGTACTTGTTGTTTGATGTATTTTAAGCACCTTGCTGGCTTAAACATGTGGGTCTTGCCAGATGGCAAAAAGACTCAGAAATAGATACTGACACAAACACCCTCCAGGGTCAGATGTTCTATATAACTCATGGTATCAGTGACGGTCTTTGTAATGCCAAGCAGAAAAGTCTGGAAAGGATGGGCAGAACAAACCAGTTAAGCCCAAAAAGCAGTTGACCAGTTAAGCGTCATAAAGAAAACAAAAACTCAGAAATAAAAATTCTATAGTGCTGTGCGGTGATTGAAGGGACATGGACTATGCTATGCAAGCAAAGCCAGCTTATTACACTAATCACCAGTATTTATAGTTCTCTAATGTCCGTGCAAAATGTTCCACTAGGGCCCCTTTGCCTCTCTTCCCTTAGCAACCCAATCTTTTCAGTGATCAAGTCCTTGTTACATTCTTTTGCGCCAGCAATGTCCTTGTTACACCTTCTCTTGTCAGAGGGGTCAGAGTGACCAGACATGATGTCTTCACTTTTGTCCTTGCCTTGAGTTTATCTCTCCCATGGCTTCCACTGTACCAGGACCAGGAGGTCTGTGGTGCTACCCAGCTCAGCTCCTGTGGCTGTCTGATCTTCCACATTGCTGAGACAATGAAAAGTGTGCAATCACAGGAAGGAACGTGAGAGTAAACAAATCAGTGACAAGTAATGTCCTTTGTGAAGATGCAAAGGAAAGATGAACAGAGATGTATCAAATACCTAAAACTTGAAATTGAAACTCCTGCCCTGGTAGGAAACTGCAGATCTTGTTTACCAAGTTACAAAAATCTTGTTTGGGTAGTTTAAGCAGGAAGTGGGCTGATCAAATGCAAAGATAGGGAAATGTGTACAACAGATACAATATGGATTAGCAAAGCATTTTAAAGAAGTCACCAGCAGAAAGCTTGCCCTATTTTGACATGAGATTCTGTAACATGAGATGATGTGAATCTCTTTAAAAAGAGATTGCCGTTGGTGCGGTGATGACATCAAATAAGCAAGTTGCAGTCCAGTAAGTAGCAGCAAAAATGCATTGAAAGACATTTTCTTTGTAAAAGAGATGCTAAGAGACCATTATGTCACTGCAGAAGCAAAATTTAAAAAGTTGTTGAAAACAAACTAGGAAAAAATGCCAGATTTTTAGAAGAGAAAACATGGAGTTGTTAAAATATTAAAATGTGAGACTGGAAAAGTGTCTCTCTGCCCTATGCTATAGGGGAGGTCATTTGCAGTGGAATACTGTGCAAGACGATACAAAATTGGAGGAGAGCAGCCTCTGGACTCAGGCCCAGAAAAACAGATATTCATGCATAGGAGCGTCCTGAAAGAACACATGCAATGGCATGCTTCGCTCATCACCACATTCATTGATTGTTTTTTCAGGTTGCTTGACATGGGCCTCAGGAATGCCTTGTGGAACTTCAGCACTCAGCTCTTACTCTGTCATCACAGCCTTGCAGAGAGGGCTGGATGGCCATCTGGGAGTCCATGTAAGAGGCTGGTTCACTTTGAACACTGGTGTGAAACAAGGCTACACTTGCTTTCTGGGGCTGCTTGGCATTATCATACATAGCTACTGTGTAGGCAACATGAGCAGCAGCATTCTGTGGATATGTGCAGATTGCACATATCTTGGAAGCATAAAATGTGCTAGTAGCACTGCGTTACTGAGCCATAGAGTTGAAAAAACCTGTGAAAATACATAACCTAGCAAAAGAAGTAAGCCAGACAGGATTCAAAATCAGTTATCAAAGCAAACATCCTGAAACCTTAATAGCAAGCATCAAAGTCATGCTAGAAAACACAAATTCTGGGAAAGCAGAGCTTGCCAGTCCTGTCCATATCCCACTTCTGACTAATTAGGAAAGAACTGACAGTAAAAATAGGAGAATCTTCCACCACTTATTTCAGCATATGGAAATTCAAGCTATTCAGTTCCAGATTAAAAAAAAAAAAATTATAATTATTATTTACATGTAATTACAATGCTAAAATAGATCTTGGAAAACAGAGACACCAAAGATGCTGGGAAAACTAGATGCCTTAAGAAAAAGAAAGTGCCTATGAAAAAGTCTGAATGTTGGTCTCTGTCTCAGCACAGAGTTGAACTGCCCACCACCACCTCTCCTTCCACCACAGTCAGCAGGGAGCATAGGATATAATTGTTGTGCATCCTCTGAATGGCAGCCCCCAAGAATTCCCCCAGAGATGATCCAGTGTGTGTGAAGAAGACTCACCTGACAGGAATGATGGTAATCAATCCCAACTGTATGTGCTAGAAACAAGAAGGAATGATGGTAAGAAATGGAAGATGCTACCTTCCACAGCAAGATTAACATAGGGGCTGCAAAGGGGATCCAATATATTCTCTATAAGTGCTTTGTTTGCTCTGCAAAGCAAAACTTGCATTAGCTAGCTTGCCACTGGAGGTAATAGTTGTGAACCTTACCAAAGGGGAGAAAAATAATGCTCTTGCTCCAGAGATGCAAAGGATAGCTGCTGTATAGGAAAAAGCACTGTACCAAATACTTCAAGAAGCTGAAGTAAAACAATAGCTTATTTAAACTAAACTTATTTAAACAGGGAAACCCTCTTGCCAAGGCATCACTGTGTAATTGCTGCAGCCATGGTGGACTGGGGCGAAAGTCCACGTCAAAAAGATTTGGCAGGTGTGGGACTCAGGTCGTCATTCCAGTGGAAATTACTTGATCCCTGATTAAAGGGGCTTTGCCTTTCATGTATCTTCAAAGGTATCTAGAGCCTACTGGTGTCATTAGCAATGATGGTTTATTTTCATTACCTAGACTGAATATAAGATCTTTAATCAAACTATGTTGTATTAGAGACAGTTCTGCTGTTTAACCATAAATATTTGTTGTGCAATCTGGTGTTGATGTACAAGGTTAGTAGTAACTATAAAATAAGTAGTCCTTTTTTTATTTGCATTATCTGCCAAGTTGTTTTTGCATATTGAGTTTGAACTTAGATCCGAGTGTGCTTTTTGAGGTGATTTCTTGTAGAAATAAGGGGGCACATTGAATACATTCAGGATACATTGTTTCTGCTGTAATTCCCAGGCATTTATTTAGCCAAGTTTTGACACAAAAGCACTAAATCTATGCTTCTTTAGAAAAGTAAATCTCTACAGTCTGTTCCCAGCTTTCTTCTACATTTCTTATAATATCAAGCCCACACACAGCCCAGATTCCTCAATGGTAGCTGGTGAAATTTTTCCACCTTCTTGAGCTTTATATATTCCTATGTCCTGAGCAGCAGCCTGTGTCTGTGTTTTGAGTGCAGACTGCTTTTATTTTAGATACCTGCCTCCATAAAGGAGCATAAGTGTTTCTTACATGTCTTTATAAGGAGAATTTTTTCATTACTTTCACAGAGGTTTAACCTCATTTCCAAAATGAGGTTGTTCTTGTTCTCCAAGTTAAATAACTAAATACAGATATATATGTGAGTGTGTGTGTGTATAAAATGTTGGGAGTTTGTCCATCAAGATCCATATGTATTTATATGTATATAGTGGTTGAAGTAAAGAACTTTATTCAGAAGGGAGTCTTAAATGTGCGCCTTCTTTTCAAGCATCTACTGAAGAGAGGTTTCATGGATGTTTACACACTTTTCTGAATAGAGGTTCATCAAAGAAAAGGCTTCTTTTCTGGAATAAAAACCTTGACTGATTATCACTGCCTCGATCAGCTGCTGCTTGCAAGGCTGACAGCAGCAAGGGGATATAAACCATAGCTCACACTGGCCTCACCAGTAATAGAAGGACACATTGCATGTGCTCGTACAACATGTCTCTCAGGTGAGACCGTGTGCTTCAGTAATCTGCCTTTATGCAGTGGGAGCACCAAGATTAAGGTCATGGGTCCAAGAACACAGCTGTGATGAAGCAAATCTACATTGTGACATCCAAATTTGTTATATAATTAGGGCATTCAATAATAGACTGAAAGACATACTTAGACTGTGTTAGAATATTCTCTGATGTAAATGAGGTTGAGTTAATTCCCTAACAGGTCAGGCAGTGACAAGAGGTGGAGATGAGCTCCCAGCACTAACTGGGGACAAAATCAAGCAAGTGACATTCTTACCTGCCCTGCCCTGCCTCACCTCCTCCTGTGCCCTGGTCCTATGGCCATGAAAGCCAGTTCCAGACTGAGAGCCCCTGCCACAGAGAGTAAAGTCCACCTTTTGTTGTAATCTGCTAATAAATGATTTCTCCTTTGGGTTCTAGCTGCAGGTCTGCCCTTGTGCAGGGTATCGGCTGGGTACAGCAGCCACAAGCAGTGGGAACAGCTAAGACTCTTCAACAATTTTAGTCGTTTTCTTGGATTAATACTGGATTAATTTTGTCTCTGAAAACAATAAGTTTTGATAGGAGTCCTTGTTTCTCTAGGCTGATCTGGCTGGTTCAGGCATAGTTTACATAAACTGGAACATTGAGGCTTGTTTCAAAGAGAGAGGGAATGCAAGCCAAGACACAAATATGGGCCCCTATTTTTCTCTGAAAAATATTATTATGTTTCCATTTTCCTCTTAGGCAGCAATAAGCTACCCCTCTGAGTGAGCAAAGGGTCCTTTATATTTTGGTGATATTAGAGGAAATTTCCATGGCATTATTCCATAAGTCACTTCCAAAATATTCTAGATCTCACAAAGAGGTGGAAAGAGTCTGTGACCAGATTGCACAGTCTAGAAACAACAGAGATTAAATGCAAGGGCAGCAGGCACAATGTCCAAAACAGATAAATCAGGGTGACTGCATAGTTGCATTCTTGTTTTTCCACTGTTCCAACAGAGAGGGCAAAATAAGCCTGGATAGCAAATACATGAAAAAACACATACTGGAAGAAATATTTATGCTGTATTAGCATATCCTCTGCTCTAAATGAGTTTGGGCTAATTGTTTATCAGACCAAAATGGGATAAGCAGGGGAGATAAGCTCTTAATATCACATTAGGAGAAATTAATTAAGCAGAATAAACATAATTTATTTGATTCTTCTCTTTCCTGTTTCAGTTGCTTTACTTAGCAATCTCAGTGATGTTCTTTAACAAATTCTTTATTTATTTTCTTAAGCAGAAAAAAAAAAGAAAAATGAAAACAAGCTGGAAAGAGATGAATTTTATCCTGGTTCCTCATTCTCCTCAGCAGATGAACAAGTGCAGCATCAGCACAGATTTCTGCTACTTGAATTAATGGAGTGCCACTGCCAGTCACAGGTTGTCATCCTTTGAGTAAAGCCCTCCCAGAAAAGGATTGCTGATGGACACTGGTGAGAAACATGAACTGAGGATTTGCTTCTTGGCTGAGATGGCAATTGGATAGATGTATATTCCAGATGTAAGGTAACCTACTGTGTCTCCTCCAGCCTCTCGCCATCCTTGTCCTTTTTCTTTCCCCACTTCATCCCAGACCTCATCTTCTCCTACAGAAAGCCACAGTGGACCCCAGCTCCTGACTTCCCAATCTGATAAGCTCTTTGCTCACTCCCCAGTATGACACTCTTTGCTTCCAATCTACTTGGCTAGACTGCCCTAACTCCCCAATTCCTTCTTATAATCCTATTTCTCATCTAGACTAGTTTTCTGGTCTAATATCTCTGTCTGAGAAACTCTTCACAGTGCATTTGAATAACTCTGTTCTCTTGAATTTGAACATCAATGTTGCTGGGACCCAAGGAAGGCAGAACCCTGTTTTTCTTCTGTTGGCTAAACTCTTACAGCTCATGTCCATCCATAGCAAATGGGACCTCTTAAGAAAGTGTTCTGTTCTGAAATCAAAGTCATCTTTATTAAACATGCACCATGACTTTTCATATACCTGTCATTGACACAAAATCTGTCTTCTATCAGCTTTTAAGTCCTTACACCAAACTTGCAAGATGTAGGTTTTGTCACAGAAGACACCAGAATTTTTAACCACAGCACATTTTCCCCTACAGCCTATCAGACACGTCAGAGATGTCTGAGTTTTTTTACACTAGATCACCTTGAGAATGTGTGTCAAGTAAAAAGTCCTGAATTATACTGTTTCATATTGTTTAGACAGGACAGCAGTATTAATGCATTTAATCTTATAAAAAGCATTCTAATATCTTTAGTGACTACTATACAGACTTTTATTCCTTAGAGAAGATAAGGAATGTCCTTGCAAACAAGAAAAATTAGATCATGTTGTGCCAAGGTCTATGCTCTAAGTAGTTCAAGGTGACCAGTGTGCAGCTCTGGCTGTTACATAAAACAATTTGCAAAGATCAGTGAAAATTAAACACAAAATGACAGCTTCTTCAAGAAAACAAGACCCAGTGAAAAGCCCCAAGGACTATGCTGAAGTCATGTCCAGTAAAGGTAAAAAAAGTGAGACTAGACTCAGTAGTAGTCTAGCAGAGTAGTAGAGAGAAGACTCTCAGTCAGGTGTAAGAAGTATGACACTGATTATGTGGGTGATTATGATGAGATTTATTGCTCATACAGTATCTAAATATTGCCAGTATAATTTAAGCAGGTCTGAAGGGCTATAACACAGGGTCAACTGGAAACATGCAGGTTTGCAGAAAGCACAGTTGCAAAGCAGCAAAGCACCCATGGAGCTACATTAGGATTTTATCTCCACCTGTTACTCACCTGTCCAAACCTGAGTCTTCCCATCCTCAGGCTGGATGTACCCTGCAGGTGTCCCTGCAGGGGTGGAATCCACCTGGAAGCTGCCCTGCAGCCTCAGGAGGTCACTTTGCCATTTGGCCCAGTCTCCAGGAGCATTTTGTACCCTTTTGCAGGCCCATGTGTACCAAGGTCAATCACAACCTTCATCACTCCCCCACCTCTGGAATGCATTAATTATGCAAGCATCCAGACAGTTCCTCCTGCAATTCCCACAATTCCCACCTGGTGTTCTTATCTTAGGACAGATCATATTCCAAGACTGCATGGGAGAGGGGGTTGGTGTGTGTGGAGGACATACTCCAAGACCTGACTATTTTTTGTCACCATCATAGGGGCAAAATTGATACAGTAGAGTAAACTTTGCTAATGAGCAAAATCATGAGTGGTGGGCTATTCTGACTCTCTGGTGACCCAAATCTTGAGCTGCAAGGATGCTTACTTTGACTCAAACTGCAGAAAGATAGGTAGGCAGCAGATGCACAACACCCTCGTTTGTACTTTTCCCTCCCTCCCCTGTTCTTTCCTTTTTCACATGTGTTTCCCTTCGATTTCTGTTTGGGAAAAATCTGCTTGAGATACTAAAGCTGCCTTTTGGAGAGCTGCTGTGATGCTGTTAAGAAACATCCAAAAAGCTGTGTTAGAGACAGCAGTGCATTGCTGTAATTCCATGTTTCCATGTGACCCACAGACAATCTGTTGTCCTGAATTTTTCTAGCAATGAATTTGTTATTCAATGCCAACACCAGAGAGAGAGGCTGAGTTCCCTTCCACTGCAGCTCTTGAGCTGTCTTTGTCCCTCTCCCATATGGCCCTGTCTCTCCAGGGAAGGACTGGACACTCTCTGTCACCAGCTCCAGCAGAATTTCCAGCCCATCTCCGTGAACTGAATAACTCTTTTCTCAAATAGAAAACCCAATACTTTATCTTTCTTGCTATAGCTAAGCCTGTTAAACAACGGTGTTTTTCTCATATAGACTTGAAATGGTGAATGCAAATTGGAGTTTTAAAATTAAAGCCTGACTTTTCTGCATTCTAACTATTTTTATTCTTCTTTTTTCCCCTTACATTTTTCTATGTTTAACAAAGGGTTTAAAAGATTTCCTGTGATCCATATTGCCACAGGAATAAATGAGCATTTGAAACTTCAAACCCTATCCAAAGCTTGTTTAGCAATATAATTTTGTTATAGTGACACAGGATGTTTAATTCATTTGACCCTCTGGTTCTGTTTGCTTTACTGAAATTTGACTCAGCAAAGTTAAATCCCCTTCTATCATTCTGCAAGACAATTCATTTTATGTTTGCATACAAACCAATTCACTGCCAAAGCTGCATAATCAACTCCCACCCTAACATTCCAGTTAGTGCTTGCAGGGCTGAATGGAAAAAGAAATCGTGATGGTTGTATAGAAATGCACCTAATTTCTATGGGATGCTCAGTGAATATCAGAACAATAGATGGTGTATTAACTACTGTGCTTACCAACACTCTTATTCCTTGACATAGTTTCTATATTTATGTAAGGAGATGGCAGTCTACCGTCATTTTATTGTGCAAAATTCTTGAGTGGATACCATGAAGTAATCTTTTTTTTCCCAAATTTATTTTTACTTGATATTTGGGAAACTGTTCTGTAATGACAGGCTCTGGAGCAAAATCTAAAAGACAGGGCATCTTCTGTATTTGAAAGATTTCTCCATATGACTGCAAATAAGAAAATTATGGAAATATCTATTCTCTTTATAGTCCATATTGTTCAATCAACATGATTTTCTCTTCCCTCTTGCTATAATCATGTGCAGATTTTATTTTGTCTCTGGTTCATTTTTAATATTTATATCTACTTATTATCAAACAAAACAGAGCAATCAGTTGTTTAAGGATGTGCTGGAACAAATCATTACAGGAAATTTATTTCCACATTCAGGGTATGGAAGGCTAGCCAGGGATATCTCTTTCCACTTAAAAATGTTAAGTCCATTTGAAAAGAATTAGGGATTGGTCAAAAAGGATTTTCCTCTCCTGTTTTTTTTTTCCTTCTCCTCCCTTTTGTGTTAAACATTAGAATCCATGAAAAGCAGCCTATTACCATAAGCCATAAAGCAGTTCTTTCCCTGTTTCAGAGAAATCTGCTT